TCTACCTCCCTTCTTCCCTTCTTTTTTCTCTCTCTTCCTTTCTCACCCCCCCCCCTCTCTCTCCCTCACTCCCCTACTCATGCCCTCACAAAAAGTACTTTCTTCCCTCTCACTCCTTCCCCGATTATTTCACACATATCATTTTGTTATCCCAAGCGGTCATATTTAAATTGCAAATGTTTTGTACCTAGTTTTTAACTTTTCAGAGGCTGTGTCTTCCGTGAATTGTCCCGCGTGAAAGGAACAATACTCTCGAGCTCTCTTCATTCCGGAATATAATAAAATTGGTTGTTTTTTTGTCTGATTAAAAGCAAAAGAAGTCTAAGTATCTATTGGGTTTTTTAAATTTAAAAACTAGTATTCAATATTTCATCCATCCAAGTGCATTAATTCCTTTTCTTTCTTTCTTTCTTTCTTTCTTTCTTTCTTTCTTTCTTTCTTTCTTTCTTTCTTCTTTCTTTCTTTTTTTTTCTTTGTTTCCTTCTTTCATAATTATAAAATAAAGAGTGCAGAGTTTTCCGAGACGGCCGATTAAAAAAATTGTTCTTTCCATAACGTGGCTTTTTAGGTTGAAGTATATTACAAAGGAGGCATTTATATTTTGTCTGTTTGAAATGAATGACCCCGAAAGGAAGGTTGGCCCCCTAAATTATTTAAATCAACGTAGGCTTCAAACAATTATTACAACGTATCTTGTTATACATGATATGGTTCTACATGCTCTTATTCAAGTGAGTGGGGAAGCCAAGGGTTTGTCAGAAACTTGTGGGCTGGGCATGAGCTAGACTGCACAGTGCCCATACATTTTGGGCTCATCCAGAAAGGGTGGATGTGAGTATAGCCTGGTTTTGTCAGAGATTTGCGATCAGAGCTCAGGGTCAGAATCAAGCATACCAGATATTTCTGTTTGGTATGGCTTTGTACCAAGCAGTACCCACATATTGTGGGCAAAGATGGCCTGACCTAAACGAAACGGCTGTGTACATGGCTGGTTTTGTCATTAGGCTTTTTTCCCCAGCTGCTGGCGTCGTTTTGGAAAATCTAAACTAAAACACATTTCTAGATATTTTTTCAAACCTTTTACTTATTGGAGACTTTTATCATTCTATTAACCATTCATCAAGCAAATAAAAAGAAAATGGAAATTTTTACTCGTAGCCGGTTTGTGAATAATACCAACTTAGTGGTTAAGCTCTCAGACTCACAACCGTAAGGTCATGGGTTCGAATCCCGTCAGGGGCCCGACGTTGTGTCCTTGGAAAAGGCACTTCAAAAGAGTTTTCCTCACTTCACACAGGTGGGAATGGGTGCCCAACTGTAGACAGTGGGCGATGTTGTTAGTTTGTTAGTGTTGGAGCGCCTAATCAGATCCTAGCACTGTATGCTTCCCGGGAAAGCTGAGAATGTTTCTGGGTGTTTTATGATCTGCTGAGGTAATATAGAGTGTAAAGAGCAACTTGTCGAGCGGGGATAAGTGCTATACAAATACCATGCCATTTGCTATTTTAAATAATACATAGTAAATATTATAAATATATATATTAAAAAAAAACATTTTTATTTCGTATCACATGGAATTCAAAACAGTTTATTATTGTACAAAAGGATCCTGACAATTTTAATACTTTGATGGGCATTGTCAATAAAGTCTTCGAATTTGGAGAAAACTCTACCAACGTAATTGGCGGTATTGATTTACTTGTCACTTGCATAGACTAGATCTATATCCTTTGAAGTTTTTCTGGATTGCTTTGTTAGTGGACCAGTCGCAGAAGATATGGGTTTGATTTCTCTTGTGGGCAGGGTTTTATTTCATCGACTATCTCCGATTGTCACTGTCTGCTGGGACTTTGTATCCCTCTCAGCCCGGGTTGGCCGTGACATTTTTTGACAATAATAAAAGCAGGTTTTTTCAGTCATTACGCTTTTTCTTTCACAGTACCAACATAAAAAAGGAAATTGGAAATTTTTCCGGACTCTGTGGCAGATTTTTGTTCTTTCCTTGGTTTGTTTTGACAAAAGAAAGTTCAGGTCTTTATTTAAAAAACCTAGATAATTTAAGTGTCACGACGCGGCGGAATCAGGAACCCGTCAATTTTTGGGCGTATTGTGTCATTGGTATTATCTTTAATCTTGTTGAGTTGCCTTGCTTTTGGTGAATAGAATTGGCCATCTACCTTGATTAGAAGTCGAGTGGCTAAGTGAGTAGTGAGTTAAGACTCAAATAATGTCAAGCAAGTGTCGGTGACACCAGGATCAGATGGGTGGTCACTTGGGTGTATCTTTGAGCAAGACACGACAACCCTAGCTCAAAATACAGGGCGCTGCACAGTGGCGACCGACAGTGGCATTGTTTGTAAACTGTTCTGTATATTTGTGTAATAAGGTGTATTTATGTATGTATTTATGCATGTATGTATTTATGTATGTACGTATTTATAATTATGTATTTATGTATGTATGTTTGCCATTGTAAAACAAAGTGCCCTTCTGGGACAAATAAAAGTGTAATTTAATTATTATTTATTTATTTATTTATTTATTTATTTATTTATTTAATTACGACTCAAGGGGGTGTGGTTGGGGTGGGGGGGTGGGGGGTTGGGGGTTGGGGGTGGGGTAGGTGTGTGGGTGTTGCCTCTTGTCAGAGATAAATGGGGAGAAAATGGCTGCTTGGATATAGTTTCAAACTGCTAATTTACATTTCTGAGTGCCTTGAACAACGTTTTTCAGTAAAAACCTGTTCTAAAAAAAATTGTTTGTAAGCGGATATAAAAGGTGCTGAACACAACAAAATTAAATTTCAATAAAAAGTGCCCAACGGGTGGAAAGACGCAGGTTTCGTTGATTCATTATTTTTATAAGTACAAGATTTCAACACGATGCCACACATTTGATCACTGCCACATAAGAAAGATAGTAAGTTTAACTCAACATCAGAGAAGTCGATGCTCCATTCGTTTCTGCTGTTGCTAAGATATTCAACGTCAGTTTTCTCTGTTGGCGTTAAATGTCCTGTCAACAGCAGACACGCAAAGAGCATGCCGATGGTTAGATATCTCTGCCGTTTTGTGACAATGATCGAATTATGCTATTGGGGTTTTTAAACAAAATACATAAACAAACACCAAAACTACATTAAAAAACAAAGAATAGAAAAAATTAAAAACAGCAATGTGGTCAGTAAAAAATGCCTATTTTCTATACATTAATTAATTTATTTTATGTTGGTGTTGGGAATGCTAATTAAAAAAACAAAGTATTATATTTATTACATCATCTACATTTAAGACTATTAGTATTACTCGCGTGAAAGGAAAAGCGTGGGGGCTCTCGTGGTCTAGAGGTTACGGTGTTCGCTTCTCATTCAACAGGTTTTCGAAACCTGACAGCGATGGTTTATTCTCTTCTCTGAAATGTTCCCCTTTCACCTCCTTTCCTACTCTCTATCCATGTTATGTCGTCTACTTTCGTCTCTACTTTCTGCTCCCCCACCCAGCCCCCTTTGCCCCATTCTTTGTGGCGATCAGACAAGCGTTGAGGCAATTTCCTTTGTGTTGCTTTAGTGGTGAGTTGATGCAGTTTTAATTTGCTTTTAAAGTTTGTTTTTGAATGCACTTATGCGTAGTGTAGAGTACAAAAAGTAAAGTTGCTCCCCCATCCAATCCGGACAATGGGGATTGCCTTGTTAGTGAGACAACTTCCTGCGCCTTCAGCTTGTTGTGGTAGGGTTGCCAGTTCCTGTCCATGCTGCCTTTACTTTCCCAACTCGAAGTCATGTACCCATTACTGCTGGGTGGGCAGGAGGAGGCGAAAAAAATCCGTGTCCGAACCGAGGCTCGAACCCGGACTTTCCGCTTCGGAGACGAGCGCACAAACCGCTCCACCACCGCACCCTCATAGTGGAGAGTACTTAGTGGAAATTCGCTTCAGTACTGTATTACATGAAGAGACTGGATCCACATACACCCCCCCCCCCCCTCCCCTGATTTTTACATCCTGTTGTGGATGGAAAGCAAGAGATTTTTAAAATCATGAACGGTTTGTCTTGAAGGATGCACCATTCAGTTAAAATGTCATCGGCAAATTTGCTCAACATAAAAATTGCAGGACACAAATCATGAACATGTATTAAGACGCACTGGTAAGTTCATTTTCCTAGTTTCAAACGTGGTATTTTGAATAACAAGATTATAATGTTTTAAAATTAATTTATAGTTTCAATTTGTCTTTATATGCATCCTATAATCTGAGTGATCTCAATTTGCTCTCTTTACAACCCATCTGGCGCCACTGGATTGATTCAGTGCACTTACAAATTAGTTTCTAGTACAGGTGTACATTACATAAGCAATGCTAAACGAGAATCATAACTGGGGTTTAATTTCATACGAAGGGAGTCCGTTATCTATCAGCAATAGAATACCGCTACAAAAGAAAATACAGTAAAAGCACTCAAGGGGTAAAGTTAGCGAGGAAATGGCCCTCGAACTTGCAACCTTACGACTCTGAGTCTGGTTGCCCTACAACAATTCGCTACCCAAGAATTACACAGTTCTAATGGTTCTGTACCAAGTTTTGAGAAATTTGGTGAAAAACATTTAGAGTATCACATGTCAAGATTTTTCAAAGATATATACTTGAAAATCTTGATAACGACTCCGAATTATATCACGATTTTGATAGAGAAAATAGGCCATTTAAATTTGGTTTCTGACCTCATGATGTTAGTAAAACACTACAACAACAACAACAAAATGTCAGATGGAACTTTTTAATTCTAAACGTAGCTTACTATTCTCTTGTTACATCATTTGCCTCAGCTATGTCACTATATCCACCAACGTATGTGGTGGAGTGTTTAGGCTCTTGGCTGTGGTACAAAGAGATGTGGGTTCAATTCCTTCGAGGGGACACTCATATTTCCAGTGTTTTTATCTCGCTCGTTCCAAGTACTAAATTGGTGGCTTTAAAGGACAAGCGGGCTAACCCACATTTCGGGTGTTCCACAAATCTTGACCTCCGCCCAAAGTGGGCATCGCCCTGCCTCCTCTAGGACAAGTGTAGTTTCATTGGTGTGTATATTAGTTTGATTATTGAGAAAACTCTCCTTGTCTTTTAAAGAAACTGAATAAGGATTTTAAAAACATTACCTTTGATTTTCTCCAGACAGCATTTTCGGGATGGCCCCTTTGTGCTTAAAAGCGACCAATTGTGTTGACACCCCTCGTTTACCTCACAATAAACTTGTTTCTTGCAGAATACAACCTCAGAGCGATGGAATCTTTGAGTCTGCAAAACAAAGTCGCCATTATTACAGGTAAGGTGCATTTAGAACTTTCTTGATGGTTGAACGATTGCTTGTTGGTAAAATGTCCGATCTGTCGGATTGCTTCAGTTATTGCTCTGATCCGTAATCCACGAGTACAAAACATTATTGTACTTACCACAATCATTTCACTCATTTAGATATAACAATATGTTCTTACATCATAACACTTTGAGTGTAATGAGACGGAAATCCATAATCTGCACACACAAAAAGGTGAAAAAAATATCACATGGCTTTCGAAAGGCATTTGTTACCACGCCTCAAAGCGTGAATATCGCAATAAATAGTAAATATTGAACCTCGAATTGCAAATCTGGTACGCTTGAAATTCTCGCCCCAGCAGTTCGGGGGGGGGGGGGGGGGGGGAGGGCATAGTTTTACTATGGGGAAGCAGAGAATACACCTCCGTGATAGTGCGTGTCGTAAGAGGCGACTAAAGGTGCAAAGATTTGCACAGGGCCAACTACCCGACCCAGTAAAAAACAGTCTGTTACAGGAACATGGACAAACACAGCTTTTTATTTTTCGATCTCTGGAGACGGAGGAGCTTCTGCATCAGCAGGAACATTGAAGGACAGCGGACAAAGCCGAAAGGACTCTCCTGACACGAAACTTTCTCTGTCGAACAAGTTTCTCAGGATTGCGTCATGGAATGAGTTACCCATCTGCCGTGATGCTCCTTCAAAACAAAAGGTTCTGGATGCCATCAAGAAGCTGAACATAGGTAAAGCGGCCGGTCCTAATCAGATTCCACCTGATGCCCTAAAAGCAGATGCCAATGTGACCGCAGACCTCTTCCTCCCACTGTTTTCCAGGATATGGAATGAGAGCAAGTTCCTAAAGGACTGGAAAGAAGGACACCTCGTGAAGCTTCCAAAAGGGGGATCTTAGCAATTGCAGCAACTACAGAGGGATCACTATTCTCTCAATACCAGGTAAGATCTTCTACAGAATCATTCTGGAGAGAATCAAGACAGCAACGGATCCAGGGCTATCGGATGAACAGGCTGGTTTCTGTAAAAATCGCTCAACCACAGACCAGATTGCCACGCTGAGGATTATTGTGGAACAGTCCCTCGAGTGGAACTCCCAGCTGATCGTCAACTTCCTTAACTATGGGAAGGCTTTTGGCAGTAAAGACCGAGCAACACTATGAAAGATAACGAGACACCACGGAATCCCACAGAAGTTGGTGAACCTCACCAAGACCATGTGCGAAGGAACAAGTTGCAGGGTTGTACATGATAAGATAAGATAAGATAAGATAGTACTTTATGATGGCAAGCTTATTGACAGCTTTGACATCAAGACTGGAGTGAGACAGGGATGTTTACTATCACCTTTCCTCTTCATACTGGCAGTTCAACTGGTTGAGGAAGGAAACCACCAGAGGACACAGGAATAGTATACAGTGGACACCATGGACACAGTTGGACGATCTGGATTTTGCAGACGACTTGGTGCTTCTGTCGCACACCCAGGAACAAATTCAAGCAAAGACTTCAGTATTAAACAGCCAATCGGAGAATCCATCCCGGAAAGTCAAAGGTCCTAAGGACAGATGCTCAACGAAAGGAGCAGGTCACAATAAAAGGAAATGAATATGAAGACGTTGAATCCTTCTGCTATCTTGGGAGTATAATTGACAGAGAGGGAGGAACTGGTGCTGAAATAAAGTCCCGCATTGGAAAAGCACAGGCTGCTTTTTTAAATCTTTGGACAGGATTTGGAAGGCCAATGATCTCACTTCGAACAAAGCTGAGGATTTTCAATTAAAATGTGAAGCCGATACCATTGCATGGATGTGAGACATGGAACGCATCGCAGACTTGCATAAAAAGGATCCAGGTTTTCTTGAAAAGGTGTCTAAGAAAGTTACTGAGGATCAGATGGACAGACAGGGTCACCAACGAGGAAGCGTTAAGGAAAACAAGGCAGGTCCCAGTAAGAGATGAGGAAGGAAGAAGGCGATGGCAAAGGATTGGACATACTCTCAGGAAGTCAGGCAGCTGCATAACAAAGAAAGTCTTGGATTGGAATCCACAGGGTAAGAGATCAAGGGGAAGACAGCGTGGGACCTGGAGAAGAATCACAGAAATCGACCTACAGAAAAATTGGAAGACGTGGAATAATATCAAGAGGCTAGCGCTGGATAGAGAAATGTGGGAGGTGTTTGTCCGTGACCTATACACCGGTGCAGGGTGAGGAAGGCAATGATGATGATGACGCTTGAAGTAAGAGTAAGAGTGAATAGGGGCAAAATTATGAGTGCTAAATAGTACCTCTGTCACACCCCATGAAGCAGTGAACTGTGAAAATAAAATTGAATGTTGAATAATTGTTAAGTCGAGTTAGCATGACTCTATTCAGCGGCAAATATTGAGTGTTTCCCTCTGCTGTCTCGCTGCCCTGTATTATATAGCTAGGTGTACTCTCTTATTATTATAGCTATGTGAGCTGGTTACCAGCTTATTGCTATGTGAGTTGGTTACCAGCTTTATAGCTAGGTGAATTTGTTTCCTGTGTTATAGCTGGGGGGGAATTCTGTACTGTCCTGCGTTATAGCAAGGTGAATTCTGTACTGTCCTGTTTTATTTTAATAGCTAGGTGAATTATGTACTGTCCTGTGTCATAGCAAGGTGAATTTTGTACTGTCCTGTGTTATTTTAATAGCTAGGTGAATTCTGTACTGTCCTGTGTCATAGCAAGGTGGAATTTTGTACTGTCCTGTGTTATTTTAATAGCTAGGTGAATTCTGTACTGTCCTGTGTCATAGCAAGGTGAATTTTGTACTGTCCTGTGTTATTTTTATAGCTAGGTGAATTCTGTACAGTCCTGTTTTATAGCTTAGTGAATTCTGTACTGTCCTGTTTTATAGCTAGGTGAATTCTGTACTGTCCTGTGTCATAGCTAGGTGAATTGATTACCGTAGTCTATGGAGTACTCTGTAGATGTGAAATTGATTTCCACAAGGGCCTGACATTTTCTCGATGGTGACCATCTTTCTGCAATGAAATAGTGTGTTTTAAGAAGCCCTTTTCTAAAATTTAATTGATTCAAAATATTCTGATCTATTGGTAAATATGTGTAAGGCAGCATGGCGAACTATGGCGCTCGTCAAAAGAATACAATTAAGGAAACCGGCATTTATCTAGTCGTGACGCAAATTATTCCGATCTGGTGGTTTCGATGAAAAAATACCCTTTGTCTAGAATAAAAGCGATATATTTGCAATTGAAGGAGATGGGGTGGCCGGGTTCCATAGGTAACATTAGCGACAAAGTGGCGGCAAAGTTTGATGGCTTCCATGGCTTGAGTCCTTGGAAACGGAAAACTTACCATTAGTGTGCCTTTAATCAACGTTTTTCAAAACATAATAATATACAGGAGTGTGCTTGAAAATGGACACAAAAGGTGTTGATCTAAAAAAATAAAATAATAAAAATCCAAAAGTTTCGGAAAATTGCCAAAATGGGCGAAAAAGTGGCAATTCTCCTTGTTTAAGAAATTCCCTTTAGTAACTGTTTCCCGGTACTTGCATCACTATAAGATCTAATTAGTTCCAAAGATTAGTAGCGTTACAAGAGAGTAACAATCACCAAAAAAAATTAGGGGCGATTATTTTGACGAACGCCTGATTTCACTACGATGCTTCACATGTCCACACATTCCACCTTCCCAGGAAGCAGCTCTGGGATTGGCGCCGCTGCGGCCAAGTTGATGGCGAGGCGTGGGGCAAAGGTCACACTCCATGGACGGAACCAGGCTAGGCTGGACGCGGTCAAGGAAGACGTGGAAAAGGCCGGCGTTGACTCCAGCAATGTGAGTGGACGTGGTTGTGCCGAAATTAACCCGATTTCATCATCAGTATTATCATCATCATCATCATCATCATCATCATCATCATCATCATCATCATCATCATCACCATCATCATCATCAGCATCATCGTCATCCTGTGTCGTGAAAGTTGTAGAAAGGATGCATGCTGAAAGAATTTGTACTTGTCAGAGAAGAATGAGTGGATTGCAGATATTTAAGCTGGCTTTCGCCAAGGTCATAGCTACACCAACCAGATAATCAGAATGTGTCAAAGAATTGAAGATGGTTTTTAAAAAAAAAAGCCAACTTTCCATCGATCAGTCCTAGTCCTGCTAGACCACTCCAAGGCATAAGAAACGGTTTGGCGTGAAAGCCTATTACTGTCAATGGCTGAAAAGGGAGTTCCGTGCGTTGCGTGCAATCAAATGGATTCATGGTTTCCTGAGAAACCTGTGTTCGCCTGAAGGGGGAAACAAGCAAGAGCCAGAATTTCAAGCAAGGGTTTCCCCAAGGAGCTGTACTATCACCGCTGCTTGTTTATTTTCTTCATTAACAATCTTGCAGAATCCCTTCCAAACCCTGACTCACAACAACTAACCTCCGCCAAACTGATCTACTCTACACTGATGACTGCACAATACTGGCCAGACACACAAAAGAGAAAACACAAATGAAGCAACACTGTTGATTGTGAACATGGTTGTGAATGGAGCAATTAACGGAAACTTACCTTGAATGCAACCAAGAGTGAGGTGTGCTTCTTCTCAACATAGATGAAAGAGGCAACGTGACAACTGGTAATTCAGATTGAAAGGGGAAAAGATACCATTCAACCCCGCTCCACGCCTTGGCACATAGAGGAAATGTCCAAAAGTGCAGCCTAAAAAAAGAACATGATAGGTGCTATTAGCAACTCAAAATGGGGCTGGGGTAGGGAGTCGCTCAAGAAGGTATATGAGATATTTGTAATTATGCTGCCCAAATGTGGCAGCCTTTGCTGAGTTTGACCGGTACAAAGGCCCTGGACAGAAAACAAAACAAAGCCCTCCGCCGTGTATCAGGTCAGCTGAAAACAACACCTACAAAAGCTCTGCGCTATGAGACCAGAACTGAGCACTATGCGCCCTATACAAAAAGAACCGGCCTCAAGTCTGTAGAGATGGCTTCGAGATTGCCTGACAACCATCCTAGAAAGAAAACCCTTGATCAAACAGTCAAACCTTAAAAAAGCTGGAAACTTTGTTTCGGATAGCCACCGACTTAGCAGACCACCTTTCCACCGAAGCAGAGAATCGATGGCCAATCAATTGGCGAAATCAAAATCCGAACAGAATTGAGAGGAATGAAGAGCAAAGATGATGATCTTGTAAAGGCAGAGGTGTGATCAAGGAGGTTGGTGCCGATGTGACAATTTTCACTGATGGATCGGCTTTCGCAGGATACCGCGAAGGTGAAGCAGAAGAAGTGCTGATAATGAATGATGAACAACCACGAACAGAATTCATTAAAACTAAAGGTGCATTCCTCACATCATCTTAGGACGAGGAATGCCAGGCAAATATGTCTGCCTCACAATGGATTTCTGACAATTGTCACAGTAGAACCAATGTGCTGATCTTGACTGACAGCCAGTCCTTCTGCAAGGGACAGCTAGGCAACTGCTTAGACATAAATGAATTGCGCCGCAAGTTCAGTGAAACCACAGCCACAATAAAAATCCAGTGGATTCCAAGCCATGTTGGAATCGAATGAAATGAGGCAGCAGACCAAGCTGTCAATGAAGCCAAATAGATTGAAGGAGACAGACGACCAATAACATACAGGGGAGTCTTCG